AAAAGCTATCCTGACCCGGAGGCGAAGGTGGAATTAGGTCAAACACTAAGGTTCCCCAATTACTCTTCCACTATGAGATCTCTTTTTGCCCCCCACCTCTCCTCTCCTCCTCTCTAATCTACATATCCTTTCCATCTCCTGCCCTCTCCTCTCCTGCCCTCTCCTCTCCTCTCCTCTCCCCTCCTGCCCTCTCCTCTCCTCTCCTCTCCTCTCCTCTCCTCTCCTCTCCTCTCCTCCTCTTCGTCTCTCTCCTCACCTTGTTCCCAGGAATTCCGCGTGATCGTCAGCACCGTCCGCGCCTCCTTCGCTCCGATCTCCATCTCGATGCTCCTTGTTGTCTGCATCCTCCTCCTCGTCGCCTCCATTCTCGGGCAGAACTTGTTTGCCGGGAGGTAGGAAGCAGATTCTGATCGTCCTGCGCTGACAGCGATGAAGATTGTGGAGATGCTCGGACGCGTTCGTACAGGATGAAGAGCATTGCCGAGGTGAGGAGGAGGAGGAGGAGGAGGAGGAGGAGGAGGAGCAGCAGCAGCAGCAGGAATGGGGGGCCGGGAGGAGGAGCAGCAGGAGGGGAGGAGGAGGACGACGATTGTGAAAATCTGTAGGGTTCGGAAGCGACGGCATCTTGAGAAGATGGAAGAGGGCGGACTATCACTTCGACTGGTACGAGAGGAGGAGGAGGAGGAGGAGGAGAAGAAGAAGAGGAAGGGGTGGGTGGGGGAGAGGAGGAGAAGAAGAAGAGGAAGGGTGGGTGGGGGGGAGGAGCGGGGAGGAGGAGGAACAGATCAAAGACGAGGAAGACGAGAATGAGGACGGTGTGAATGTTTGAGAATGGATGTCAGGATCGGAAACGCTTTCTTGAGTGTCTTCACCATCGTCACGCTGGATGGGTTTGTCAGCTCTTCCTGCTGCTTCCCCTCCTGCTGTTTCCCTTTGTCTCTTCCTTCACCCAATCCTCCTCCTCGCTCTCCTCCTTCTCGTTCTCTCACCAGCAGCAGGTGGGTGCGGCTCATGTTTCTCTGTCAAGACATGGACGGGGCAGGAGCATATCAAGACGGAAATCCTGCTGCGGTCAACGATGACCTTCCCCTCCTCTCCTCTCCTCTCCTACCCCCTCCTCTCCTCTCCTCTCCTCTCCTCTCCTCTCCTCTCCTCTCCTCTCCTCTCCTCTCCTCTCCTCTCCTCTCCTCTCCTCTCCTCTCCTCTCCTCTCCTCTCCCCTCCCCTC